TAGCAGTTTGTCCTGCTTGAACTGGTCAAGTGAGTTGGTGAGAAGGTTTCTCATGGCTGTGTGCTTTTGGTTGTGTGTCGTTGCCAACCATGCGTGTTGGTGTGTGGAGATTCCACAAAACTCAAGTGTAGGCTCAGGAGGAGTTTAGCTCAGGATTAGGTTATCCTGAAAAATTCGTGTTATTGAATAGAACGGTAAATTAAGAAGTTGTACTTGATTTACGCGTTTGCGAATAAGTTGTATTTGTTTTCTGGTTCTAGTGGATTTGATTTCTGGACTTTAGTCTCGGAGAGTAGGAAACAAACCTCGTAAAAATTCTCTTGTGTCATTTATTTTCAATACTACATATTGCCTCTTTTGCGTTTACATATTACCACCTTAATAATCTCGTTTTTAAAGACCAACAACGCTTTGCAAATTTTCTGCCATTTACGTAATGGATGTGTATGTTGTATATTCAGTTGCTATAGTTATTGTCATATGGTGGTTATAGGCTTTTCACCGTGAGAAGATCAAGTCCATATGCCTATTTTGCTAATCAATGCGACACTAAGTTCTGGGGAAATGATGCAGCTGAGTTCAAGCCCGAAAGGTTCGAAGAAAGGAACCAATTATGCTTTTTGCCCTTTGGTTGGGGACCAAGGACCTGCGTTGCTCAGAATTATGCGCTATTGGAGGCAAAGATGGCAATGGCATTGATTTTACAGAGATTCTCCTTATAGCTTTCTCCTTCTTATGTTCATTTGCCTTACAAAGTCATCACTATTCACCCAAAGTTGGGTGCTCCTATTATCCTGCATAAGCTATGATTCTATAAGTATATAACCCAACGTGATGTTATCAAATGAAGTTGTTATAGACATGGGATTCTATATCAAAAACTTCTATAATAAATAAGTGTGATATTTTCAAACAAAGTAAGTTTATACTTTATACTAGACTTAGAAAAGTAAATTGATAGAGAAGTCGTAATCGGGTTCATGTAGTTTTTAGTTTTAGTACATACATTATATAGTGGCATCCCTTATATTATTAGCTGGAAAGTGATTTTTCCAAAAAAGTTTAGATATTTTCACCAAAATCACTCTTCCAATTTTAATGTGCATGGCATCCCTTAAAATATGATATGACATTCTCTCTAATTTAGTCAATTAATCCCTAGTTAAAATTAGTCCAAACTCAATAATTAAAATTAGTCAAAGCTCAAAAGGAGAATGAGAATGATAGCTCCATTGATGAAGTTAAGAAATGATTATCAAAAAATAATCTCACGGAATAGAAGATTATTTTTACATGTTTTCTTTCCATTATTTGATTAGGGATTTTAGTTATTGTTACTTTTAAAAATAATTTGTTTTTGGATTTAATTGATCTTACTTTATTTCTAAAAAAATTTGTTCAACCAAAAAGAGCAATTCAATAAATCGATTACATTTCGTTCCGATCCAAATATAAATTTATGTATCATCAACTCCAAAATTAAAAGTATAACAATCTTTAGTAAAATCTACACAAGATTAATCTGACGTTTACGAGATTATGGAAATCTTTATTTCCATAAATTTACCTATCCAAATTTTCAGAATATCTCAGAATTAAAATGTATGAGCAACTACAAATTTAAAAGTGTGAAATTTGGCTGCTCTGAAATTAATGTATCATCAATTCTAATTTTCAAATATGAAATTTTTTGATAATTAGAAATATTTAAAATTTTCAATAGAAAAAATTAACATTTTTCGATATCTAATTAATAATGGACTTATTATGGTCTGAAATTTATGTATCATCAACTTCAAATTTAAAAGTACGAAAATCTTTAGTAAAATCTACACAAAACCAATCTTACCAAATTTTTAAAAGAGACTTTGATATGTCTGTTAAAAAATATTTTTCCAAGTTTATAACAAAAATTTTTTCCAAATTTCTCAATCTTTAAAAGAGATTTTGAATTTCTTTTACGCAAGACAATTTGAAAATAATAAAAACATTTTTTTTATTCGAAAGCAACAATTTTTTTTAATCCGCGTTTTATTTATAAAATTTATGATTATTTATTTTAATGTTTAAAAATATTAAATAATTTATTTGTATTCTAAATTCTACTTAAGGTATTTGGACAATCAAAAGTTAAAAAGTTTATTTTTAAACTCTAATGTATTAAATTATTATACTTTTTGATTTGACACGTGTACATATATAAAATAACTTTCCAAATTTATAACAACAAATATAATTATTCTTTTGAAATGTTTTCTTTAACGCAAGACAATTTGAAAGTAATAGAAACAATTTTTAATTTGAAAGCAGCAATATTTTTTTTAATTTGTGTTTCATTTTAAATTTATGATTATATATTTTATTTTTTTTAAAATATTAAGTAATTTATTTGTATTCTAAATACTACTTAACATATTCGGATAAGCCAAATTTAATATTTTTTTTAACTCTAATGTATTAAATTATTATACATTTTGACTTGATACATTTACATATATAAAATAACTAAATGATAAAACTAAATTTATAAAATTTATATTATTAATAAAAATGATATTATTGATAAAAAAAATTAACAACAAAAGAATCAACAACAATGTCTATAATAAAAATCAAACAACTACATATTTCACATTTTTAAAGACAAAAATTAAAAATAAAATTACATAAATAATTTATTCGTGTGTACACGCGGAAGAACCACCTAGTTAAATAGTAAAACAAACCAAAATTACTAATTTCAACGTTTAGGTAGAAAATTGTAAACCGCATGATGAATGAGTGACAAAGACACGTAAAATAATCAACGTTCTTGCCCACACAAGTTATGGCCAATAGATTTCCTCTTTCTGTCGGCATGTAATGGCAAAAGATCAAACAGTCGCAGCAAAAATAATTGTCCAAAACTCACAAAACAGAGAAGTATTCTCAATTTCTTCATATATCTTTTTTTTTTTTGGAAAGAAATGGAAACATCAGTTGCGTTGGTAACAGTTTCAGTAGCTATAGTTGTTGTGTCGTGGTGGGTATGGAGAAATCTGAAGTGGGTTTGGTTTAAACCTAAGAGGCTCGAGAGTTACCTGAGAAGACAAGGTCTTGTCGGTACTTGTTACACGCCTCTTATCGGCGATTTAAAGAAGAATTTCAGCATGATGGAGGCAAGTAACCAAACCCATCAAAACAACGGACGATATCACGCCACGTGTCCTCCCTTATCCCTTGCAAATGGTCAAGACTCACGGTATGTTTCTTGATTCCTCTCTGTTTACAAGTTAAAGAGATACAAAGAAAACAACAAAACTGTTGCATAGTATAAGATCTATGTGGTTGAAACAGGAAAGACTTTCTTTAACTGGCTTGGACCTATACCAGCCATCACCATAATGGATCCAGAGCAAATCAAGGAAGTGTTCAACAAAGTTTACGATTTCCAGAAGCCGCATACTTCCCTTTAGGCAGTGTGATAGCCACTGGACTCGCTAATTATGATGGCGATAAATGGGCGAAACACCGAAGAATCATCAACCCGGCATTCCACATGGAGAAGAAGTAGCACAGCTCATCATACAAGCATTTCTGAAATCTTTCATCCCTGGATATCTGTAATACAAAACCTCAACTTTTCTTGTTTTGATACTTTACAGCTCTTGGTCTTGTAATGCTGCAACCTATTGGAGATGTGAAGCCTTGTTGCGTCTTTTGTTTGCGTAGTTATCTCCCAACGAAAGGTAATAGAAGGATGAAAGCAGCATCCAGAGAAATCCAAGTTATACTTAGAGGGATTGTTAACAAGAGGTTAATTGCAAGAAAAGCAGGGGAAGCACCGAGCGACGATTTGCTGGGAATACTTCTTGAATCGAATTTGGGGGAAGCTAAAGGAAATGGAATGAGCATTGAGGATGTAATGGAGGAGTGCAAGTTGTTCTATTTCGCCGGGCAAGAGACGGCTTCGGTACTTCTGGTCTGGACCTTGGTTCTTTTAAGCCAACACCAAGACTGGCAGGTTCGAGCAAGAGAAGAAGTGAATCAAGTTTTCGGCGATAAAGAAGTTGGTACAGAAGGCCTTAACCAACTCAAAGTTGTAAGTAAATAGAAAAACATTACCTTTGTTCTGTTTTGGTGATTTTTGTTGAATGTTTTGATCCGTCCCTCACAGGTGACAATGATATTACATGAGGTCCTTAGGCTATATCCTCCAGTAACTCAGCTAACTCAGGTAGGCAACCTGACACTACCAGGCGGTGTTCACATCAATCTACCTATTATGCTATTCCAACGTGACACCGAGCTGTGGGGAAACGATGCAGCGGAGTTCAATCCCGAGAGATTCAAAGACGGTATCTCAAAGGCAACAAAGAGCCTAGTCTCATTCTTCCCCTTTGGATATGCATCGGTCAGAATTTTGCTCTGTTGGAAGCAAATATGGCAGTGGCATTGATTCTCCAAAGATTCTCCTTTGAGTTATCTCCTTCCTATGTCCATGCGCCTTACACTGTCATCACCCTTCACCCACAGTTGGGTGCTCATCTTATCCTACACAAGCTTTAATACAAGAACCAGACTCCATCTTTTGATGTAATACTATTTCTGTGATTATAAAACAGAGTAACAAAATACTTGCGTTAGTAAAACGCATGGATGGGATTTTTGACAAAGAAACGTAAGAAAAAGTTGACGACGTTCGTGCCTTGTAACCCACTCAAGTTATGATATTTTCATTCGGTTTTTGTCGCTACTCACACAAAAATCCAAATTTGCTTCTTGCGGCTACGTGGCATGCCGCATGTGACCTAAACTGTGAGGCTCCTACTAAAAGCAAAATAATTTTCCGAACAAAAAGTCTTTATGACATCACCATGATGTCATTCATCACTACATCCATATCTTCTACCCAAAATTTTCCAATTCTTTAAATTCCAAGAAATGTTAGGATATTACTTATTCTTTCTCTCTCTTTTCCCCGTGACAGAAAATGGAAACATCAGTTGCTGCGTTGGTAACAGTTCCAATCGCTATACTTCTTGTGTCGTGGTGGGTATGGAGAACTCTCAAGTGGGTTTGGTTTAAACCTAAGATGCTCGAGAGTTACCTGAGAAGACAGGGTCTTCCCGGGACTCCTTACACGCCTCTTGTCGGCGATTTGCAGAGAAATTTCACCATGTTGTCAGAGGCAAGATCCAAACCCATCAAACTAACCGATGATATCACACCACGTGTCGTCCCTTATCCTTTGCAAATGCTCAAGACTCACGGTATGCTTCCTTTTCTGGTTGGATTCTTCTCTGTTTACAACTGTTGCAGAGTACCTTATATAGACAAAGGTTTCAACTTTAGTATCTCTCTGTGTGGTTGGAACAGGAAGGACTTTCTTTACATGGCTTGGACCTATACCAACCATCACCATTATGGATCCTGAGCTAATCAAGGAAGTGTTCAACAAAGTTTATGATTTCCCAAAGACTCATACTTTCCCTTTGGGTAGATTGATAGCCACTGGACTCGCTAATTATGATGGTGATAAATGGGCGAAACATCGAAGAATCATTAATCCAGCTTTCCACCTTGAGAAGATCAAGGTTTAGGCTTTACTTTTCATAGCTTCGAAATCAGAGTAATATTGCTTAATGTATTCATTCAGCTGACACAAATTAGTACCTTCTGCTTCTATGTATAGAACATGGTCCCTGCGTTCCACCAGAGCTGCGGCGAGATTGTTGGCGAATGGGGCAAGTTAGTCTCTGATAAAGAATCGTCATGTGAGGTGGATGTTTGGCCTTGGCTTGTGAGTATGACTGCAGATGTGATCTCTCGTACTGCTTTTGGCAGCAGCTACAAAGAAGGGCAGAGGATATTCGAGCTCCAAGCAGAACTAGCGCAGCTCATCATACAAGCTTTTCGGAAAGCGTTTATCCCTGGATATAGTTATCTCCCAACAAAGGGTAATAGAAGGATGAAAGCAGCAGCTAGAGAAATTCAAGTTATACTGAGAGGGATCATTAACAAGAGGTTAAGAGCGAGGGAAGCTGGGGAAGCACCGAGTGACGATTTGCTAGGTATACTTCTTGAATCGAATTTGGGGCAAGCTAAAGGAAATGGAATGAGCATTGAGGATGTAATGGAGGAGTGCAAGTTATTCTATTTCGCCGGGCAAGAGACTACTTCYGTACTTCTMGTCTGGYCAATGGTTRTGTTAAGCCAACACCAAGACTGGCAGGCTCGCGCAAGAGAAGAAGTTAGGCAAGTTTTTGGCGATAAAGAACCCGATACAGAAGGCCTGAACCAACTCAAAGTTGTAAGTAAAACCGAATCAAAAACCTTTAGGTGATTTAACTACTTGTATCGTGTATTAATGATCATTGCTCCCTCACAGATGACGATGATATTATATGAGGTGCTTAGGCTGTATCCTCCCGTAACTCAGCTGACGCGAGCCGTTCACAAAGAGATGAAGCTAGGAGATCTGACATTACCAGGCGGTGTTCAGATCAATCTACCGATTCTGCTAGTCCAACACGACACCGAGCTATGGGGCAACGGTGCAGAGGAGTTCAAGCCCGAGAGATTCAAAGACGGTCTCTCAAAGGCAACAAAAGGCCAAGTCTCCTTCTTTCCGTTCGCGTGGGGACCAAGGATATGCATTGGCCAGAATTTTGCTCTGTTGGAAGCAAAGATGGCAATGTCATTGATTCTACAGAGATTCTCCTTTGAGCTATCTCCTTCCTATGTTCATGCTCCTTACACTGTCATCACCATTCACCCACAGTTTGGTGCTCATCTTATCCTGCAAAAGCTTTGATTCTATAACTGTTGCTATATAAACTTGTCATACACAGCCTATGAAACTAAGACCCACTGTAAAAGGAAGAATATTTAGGAGACATTTACAGATTTTAGCCACAAATTAATAAAACTTGCAAGAAAAGACCTTTTGAAACTGAACCAGTATCTGATTCTTTATTATTATACATACAAAAACTAGACAAAACTTATCACAAACTATTGCAAATTTTGACAAGTGATTCATTCCCACATAACTTTTACCAAAACACGAATCTGTTTATGATAAAAGACTCGCAATCAGTAGAGACAAGGGGTTTGGTATTTGGCCTGTACGACAAGAGTTTGGTTCTGAGTAAAAGCCAAAACCATTGACGTGAGCTCAAATCTAAAGCATTCAAGATATTACCACCTTACTAAACTCGTTTTTAAAGACCAATAACGCTTTGCAAATTTTTCTGCGATTTAGGTAATGGAGATGTATGTTGTATATTCAGTTGCTATAGTTATTGTCATATGCTTGTCACCTTTAGAAGATAAAGGTTTCTTCCATTTTAGCTAAATGGTCCATTTTTGTGTGTAGAATATGGTACCTGCGTTTCATAAAAGTTGTCTGTGTATGGGAGAAGTTAGTTTCAGGTAAAGGGTTTTCGTGTGAAGTCGATGTTTGGCCATGGCTAGTGAATCTTTCTGCGGTTGTGATCTCTCGAGCTGTGGGGCAACGATGCAGCGGAGTTCAGGCCCGAGAGATTCAAAGACACTATCTCAAAGACAACAAAGAACCAAGTCTCATTTTTCCTCTTTGGATGGGAACCGAGGATATGCATCGGCCAGAGTTTTGCCATGTCGGAGGCAAATATGGCAATGGCACCAAAATGGTGGTGGCCTAGTGGTAACATAAGGGGGGTTGGTTCACTTGTGCCCTGGGTTCAAACCCCCTTTAGAACGGAAAGTTATTCTTTAAATCAAAATATTCAAATAATGTCTCCAGGTACCGAAGAGATTATGAGCCAAACGTTTGGAACTCCCACGGTTTATAAAAAAAAAAAAATGGTATGGCATTGATTCTATAAAGATTCTCCTTTGAGCTATCTCCTTCCTATGTTCATGCTTCTTACACAGTCATCACTATTTACCCACAGTTCGGTGCTCCTCTCACCATTCCTGTGCACAAGCAATGATTCTATAGCAACCCAATGTGATCATAATACAAGACTCCATCTTTTGATATAATACCATTTTGTGATCATAAAACAGAGTAACGTTATTTTTTTTTTTTTACAGAGAGGAGAAACAGAGTAATGTCTTGACAAAGCAAAACAGAGTAAAACGTAAGAAAAAGTTGACGACGTTGGTGCCTTGTTGCCTACTCAAGTTATGACAGATGATTTCCATTCTCTTTTTGTCTCTATTTACACAAAATCCAAATTTGCTTCTTGCGACTACGTGGCTTGCCGCATGTGACTTTACATGACATTGGTCATGACTACCATCCATACCTTCTTCTCAAAATTCTCTCAATTCGTTAAATCCCAAGAAAGCTAGCAAAATCTTCATCTCTCTTTTTCTAGGGAAGAAAATGGAGATACCAGTTGCGTTAGTAACAGTTTCAGTAGCTATAGCTGTTGTGTCGTGGTTGGTATGGAGAACTTTGAAGTGGGTTTGGTTTAAACCTAAGATGCTCGAGAGTTACCTGAGAAGACAAGGTCTTGTCGGAACTTCTTACACGCCACTTATCGGCGATTTGAAGAAGAATTTCAGCATGATGATGGAGGCAAGAACCAAACCCATCAAAATAACGGACGATATCACACCACGTGTCGTCCCTTATCCTTTCAAAATGCTCAAGACTCACGGTATGCTTCCTTTCTGCTTGGACTTTTCTCTGTTTACAACTCAGAAAAACACATTTTGGTTTAGAGTAACTTATCTATAATTAGGATAGGAAATGAAGTTAAGAAAGAGAAACACATTTTGGTTTATCAAAATCGTTTTCTATTACTTCAATAATTACAATGTGTTTTATATACACAATAACTAAACTGATAAAGCTATACTAAAATTGATTTACAAATGCATGTGTAGCTAAACCGAATCTTAAAGCGGAACAACTGTTAATATCTAGGTTGCATGGACATGCATGCGCTTCTCGTTTCAAAAACGTTTTGGAATCCGAAACTCTTGGAAATTCCATAGAACGCGTTATCTAAAAAAAATTGGAAACGCGACATAAACGTTTGATTCCATCTTGGAAAATGCAACGAAAATTCGTTTCTTAGAAATCTCAATTTGAATCTCAATTTAGAAACACGACGGAAACGTTTGATTTCGTCTTGGAGATGCGACGAAAATTTGTTTTTCAACGTAATAACTAAATAGTTTGGAAATTTAGAGATATATTAAGTACTTTATAGATTAAAAACAATAAATTATTATATTTTAGCTTTTGTTAAACTATTTAATATTTATGTATATGATTTTTGTTATTCAAATTCTTTTTGAATACCGTTTTTGATATTGTTGTTTCACATATGTATCTGTGTGCGTTTCCAAAACGTATTTGTTTCCTGAATTTTATTTAAAAGTTGTTTCTACGTTTCTAAA